GGAGGGAAAGGAGGGGAGGGCTGGGTTTGATTTCTTTTTTTAAATTGAGGGTAACTTGGTAATTTTACAAAGCAAAATAAGGGGAGGGGTCAGAAATCTGAGGTGGAGGGGTCATAAATAGGTAAAAATCAAAAGGGGGTCAAAAGTCCAAGTGGTTATTGAAATGGGTCAAAAATCCCAATTTCCCACGGGGATTGCCGTAATGGAAAAGTTGCAGGGGCGTGGGAGCGTACGAACGAAGGCCCGCTCTCGCTTCGTCAAGTCTTCGGAGTGACTTGCCAGTCGCCATTTGGTTGAATTTTCATTACGTTTTGGTCGATTCGAGCTTCTCTGGTTGCATTGAAGCTTATGATTATTGATCTCAAAGGAAAAAGGAAAATCTGAGCAGACATGGAGGCGGGTCGTCCTCCAAAGTCCACGAGCTTCGTTTCCATGATTTCCATCTGTTTCTTCTTCGCTTCTGTTCGCTCTGTTCCATCACTTATTGGAGTTCACCCCCTCGGTATTCCTCTCTCTCTTTGACCCTCTGCTTAATGTTGGCCCTGGATTAGAGGATTTGACACTGCGAAGCTCGAAAATGGAATTTATATCGCCATTTCTGCCCCTTCCTAGCTAACTGATTCCTTTTGGATTGTACCCAGTTTGTCAATTCATGTTCGTTCGGTGAACCTTTTTTCTGAATTGAAATGTAAATTTGATTGCAGACGAGAAGTATTATTCATCGGAGGTCATAAAGTGCAAAGACGGGTCTAGATCTTTCACCATTGACCGTCTGAACGACGATTTCTGCGACTGCGTCGATGGAACTGATGAGCCTGGTGCTTTCATTGTCCCTTCTTGAGTTTTAATCGTCAAGGATTTTTAATGCATAATTTGATTTGAGCTGTTAATATCAATTTTTTTGTGTTTATTACATCAGCTTCTCAAATACCGAAGTGGTGAACTGATTGAGAGAAGTTTAGGGTTCTTTTGCATGAAATTGGAGGAACGGAGAAGATAATTTCCTGCTGGAAAACGTCAATGTGAAGTGACTATTGAAATTACATTTTGAACGAAGGCAACAATTATTAGCCATTGCAATCTGTCTTACATGGGAACATGGAAAAATTTAATGTTCTATCGTGTTAACTATTAAAAAATACCTACCATGTTTAACCCAAAAGAGCATGAGTTGTTTTTCTTTCTGAATTCTCACCGACATGTTTAAAACTGGAATGTAGAAACCATCTCTTCTTTGTCTCGTTGTTGTATCATTAGAAGGTAAGATAAGTTCTGCATAAGAATGATATTGGACTTGTAAGCAATAAATTCTAATTCTGGTATGGGCATTTGGTCATGTAAAAAGAAAGAAAAACAACTTCTCCCCATAGCCAAGAACAGCCCACACACAACACAGTGTGAGGATCAGGTGTGTTTTTTTTCTGTGCTCTGTGCTGCTGGCTCGTGGAGACATTTGACCTTTGATCTTTGTATTTGTATATGCAGGTACTTCTGCCTGTGCAAGAGGGAAATTTTATTGTAGAAATATGGGAAGTACCCCACAGTTCATATTTTCTTCCCACGTCAATGATCGTATTTGTGGTAACTATCCTTTTAATCTTTTGTTTTCCTTCTTTTTCTATGCACATGGCTTGATTGGGAGTTTAATGACTTCCGGAAGTTTGGTCGAGGAAAGAAAGATGTGAATTGAAACACCATAAATCTGTTGATAAACATGTAGTACAACATTCCTGTGATGGTGTGGGTGATGCAATGAGTACACTTTGTACAAGCAGATGAGTTAATTGTGCTGATTATTTAGTCTTACTGCTTTTTTTTTTCTTTCCTGTCAATATAGGGTCTCTATTCTGTTTAAAGTCTGCAAATGGTAGTTAACACTTGACAATCGACATACTCCATAACTCTTGGAATAATCCACCATTTTGTGTTGTGTTCAAAGATCCGTCACTTTTTCCACTCATGTCGAATCGACAGTTGATGGGAGAAACTTGGGGTTTACATTTCATCTTCCAAATTTGAATTTGGATTCCAATTCCCTGTTCAACATAATTGCAGATTGCTGTGATGGAAGTGATGAATATGATGGTAATATCTTTTGTCCAAACACCTGTGTCATGGGGGGAAATATAGCGTACAAGAGCAACAATTATATTTCGACTACTCAAGATGTGCATATAGTCAACAGAAAAGTAAAGGAGGAAATCACCAAGGAGGACTTGTTTCAGAAGCTAATGGGTATGATTTTTGTTTCACGACTTGCCAAATCGATTTCGTAGCACTCAATTAACTGTTGTGTTGTAACTAATCATTTCAGGTTTGAAGTTAGTAATAGTCCTACAGGTAGCTCTCACAAGTTTTGCAGTGTTCATATGGGTAAACCGTTGTCGTGCAAGATCTAAAAGAAGACGACACCGTTGAATCTAGCGTCGCAGTCGTCACTCTGCTCTGCTACAATAAGTGCATCTCCCATCCATTGTCGACCGAGGTTCATTGGCTGCCAAGGACTAAGCTCTGGTATATATAGATCGATCTTAAGCAAACCACATGACCAAACCATCCTGCTAATCCATCACAGCATCAGAATAACACAAAGGATTAGTATAGGCTATCTATATCAATTTTGTTACAATATAGGCTAATAGGTTGCCCCATTAGTAAAATTAACGGGTTTCTTCCTCCCCAACCGAGGTTCAAAACCCGTCCCCTGCTATGTAACATATCAAAAAGAATCAATTTTGTTTCAGTGTTTGTCTTGTATGAAGATGATACACATGCAGCATGACTTTCAAAACCACCCGATCGATCACTTTCTTGAAGTTGCAGTCTTTCGTTGGATCAAACCGAACGAAAATTTGTGTAAAAGTAAAATCCAGGACCATTTGCTTTCATTTCCAATCTCAAATTCAACTTACCCTAACAAAAAATCATGTAACATAACATGGCCTGAGTAAACAACATGTATCGGCTTTTGAAATATTCCATCTTTGTTTCCTTTTCCAAATTCTCTCTCACGAGAAAGAAAGATCTCTATTACAAAATGAGCGGAGAGAGAGAGGATGTGGGAGATGGTATGCGTCACAGGCTAGCAGACACTTGAAATCGTAAGTACATCAACCACACCATGAGTTAGTCCAATAGTCAGAAAGATGGACGAGGAAATGAGTCTGTAAACTTGCTCGAACGCACAAATATAGAATAACGATAATGATCAGCATATGTGAATGAGTTGAAATGAAGAAAATGGAGATGGGAGGGGATAAAAGGGCATATACCCTACATGTGGGAGTGGTCTGGGGACAAAGCAAAGAAAGCTAAAAGCGTGCGAACAATTCACATGGGCTTGTGACATTATCCTTTTGAAAGCTCCTCTAACTCACAAATCCCACCATTTTCCCACTGCTCGTTCTCCATCTTCTCGGGCTAAAAATCCCCTCATCTCCACCAAAAAGCCTGCACCCACATGGGTCTGCTTTTATCATCATTACATCTCCACCTCTAATTGATCCCATCAGACGGCTCTAAAGAGGCAATCACAGAGAGAGAAACAGAGGAGGGAAGGGAATGTCCCTTGGGACAAGAATTAGTTAATTCAATTGGTATTTGTATTTGTAAGGGATACCCTCTAAATTGAGGGTCACAAAGGCACGTGGTGGCTGATTGGTGTTGTGAGTTTAAAAACAGAGGCGACTTTCCAGTTATACCGTTGAAGCCCAACTTCCCCTGTTTCCTTTCTCTTCCCATTTCCCATTTCCCAGCTGGCCATAGCTGTCCATTCTCCTCCCCCATGTGACCCCACTGCTCATACCACATTGGAATTGGATAGAGATTGCAAAAAAAAGATTCATTGGGATTTATATCCCTTTAATTATGCTCTTCTCCTGCTTCTCTCTCTCTTAATCTTCCACATTTATTTTCAAGATTCTCTTTGCGTTTCTTTTTTTCTCCTTATAACACCCTCAGATTCAGGGGGCCTCTGCAAAAATTTGGTCTTTTTTTCCTCTCTCTGTCCAAGTTTATTGATTAGTGGTGTTTTGGGATTTCGATTTCGTCATTTTGCTGTGCTATGGCACAGTTGCCGCCCAAGATCCCGAACATGGCGCCTAATTGGCCGGAATTCTCTCGTCAGAAAATACCATCCATGGATAACTTTGCACCGGCGGCGGCGGCGACGGCGGGTCACCAGAATCCTTCTTGGGTCGACGAATTTCTCGATTTCTCCTCCGCCAGGCGCGGGTCCCACCGGAGGTCCGTTAGCGATTCTATCACATTCCTCGAAATGCCAATGCTGGAGGAAGAATGCCGCGGCGGCTCCGGCGGCGCTGCGGCGCCAGGATCCGGGTCCGGGGCGCGGAATGAGTTTGATAGATTCGACGACGAGCAATTCATGTCGATGTTTAACGATGAAATCTCCGCCGCCGTGGCGCCGACCGTGTCGTCGTCGAACCCCTCCACGCCGTCCGATCACAACAGCATTAACGACGAGAAAGACGGCCGGAACGACGGCAAGCAGAATCAGAGCAAAAACGAATCCGACGAAGCGCAGAGCCAACAGCAGTCGGAAACTCAAACGCAATCCAATTCTGCGGCGGCGGCTTCTAGCAACCGGATAACGGATCCCAAAAGAGTCAAAAGGTAGAAACTTTATCGTTTTATTCCCTCCATTGACAAGAAAGCTCAGAACTTTCATCTGGGTCTTGAGAATTTCTTCCCAAAATTATTTTCGGTATGAATTAATCCCAACATTCTGAACTGTGGTTCACTTTTTTTCTTGATTTAGAATTCTGGCAAATCGGCAATCGGCTCAAAGATCACGAGTCAGAAAGCTTCAATACATATCAGAACTCGAACGAAGCGTCACATCATTACAGGTACATTGCAAAATTTTCCATTTCAAAATTCTCAATTAAAATAATAATCTCGAATAATGTTACCTAATTTTGAGGTTAATTTCAATATAACCATAGTTTAAAAAGTTTCAAATAACAATTTTACAATCATGGTTGTAAATTGTGATCAGCTATGTTTTTCATTTATTACGTCTAAAAATATATTTGAATCGATTTTAAAAACACGAATCAAATTTTTAGTGGTAGCAAGGATGATCGGAAAATTAGTATTATTCATAATGGCGGGTAATTTTAATTTGTTTTTAAAGGCTGAAGTTTCGGTGCTGTCGCCGCGGGTGGCGTTTTTGGACCATCAGAGGTTACTTCTGAACGTGGACAACAGTGCTCTGAAGCAAAGAATCGCCGCCCTCGCACAGGACAAGATTTTCAAGGATGGTACGTAAAATTAATTTAATTAAGTGGTGGGTTTGTTTTTTAATTTGTTGTGTTGTGTCACGTAATTACGGCGCTAATTATATGTGTTAATCAAGGAATAATCCAGTTTGTCATAGTTAAATGCAGTACACATTGGCCATGGGGCCTAACATAATAATTGCCCATTGACTCCACAAATTAAGAGGAAGAACGTGGCCTGCACCATATTACAAAGAAAGACGAGAGTCTCACTGTAGAATAAATAAAATTCCTTGTCTGGCAGGGCACAGGCCACTGTAGCAACCAATTTATAGTGCCTGTTTTCTCACGAAATTGCATGCATGATTATAATCAATTCTAGTGTTACACACGCAGAGAAGCCAATAGTTTCTAAACACGATTTGGTCTAAATTACTGCACATCAAAAGTTGTTTTAGTTTAAATAAGCTTCGGAAATTCGAATTTCATACCTTTCGTTGAGATTTCTAGTATCTTAACCAATCGAATATAAAAAACCACAGAAATTTTCTAGTACTTTTTAACCTTGTGTTATGATTTCACTCATAAAAACTCTCGAGTACAATACTATTTTATGTATAATATGTAGTAAAAAATAGATATGTTCAGGGACAAAATTTCAGTGATCATTATTAATAAGTTTTGAATCAGTGTTTTTTTTTATAAGAGAAATTTGCTAGGTGTTTGAATCAGTATTTTGTTTGTTACTGTTTCTCTGTGACAAACAAAACATTGATTACAAACTCTCCTTTGACCAATTAATTTTTTTGTTACATATTATATATAAAATAGTAGAGGATTTTTATGAGTGAAATTACAAGAAAAAGGCTAAAAGGTACCAGATTAATTTTGCTTATGGGTTAGTGTAGATTAATTGTATTACTATCTATCTCACTCTATTCACTTGTTGAGTTCAATGCTCCGATATGATGTTAAATTATTTTTGGAACAATAATAGTGTCAATATGGTGAGAAATCATTGGAGAAAGTCCGGACACGTATTTCAAATCAGTATCGAATGATTAACGATATATAGTACCATTTGGCAGCCAATTCAATAATTTTTGCAGTAAGTATTTGAGTTTAATTATTGTGATTGTGCATGCATGCAGCTCATCAAGAGGCACTAAAGAGAGAAATAGAGAGGCTGAGGCAAGTGTATCACCAACAGAACATGAAGAAGATGGAAAATGCAGCAGCAGCACCAGCGCCGCCGCCACCCACCACCGCCGCTGGCGCTGCCGACGCCAAGCTTCCTCCAGCTGGTGTAGATCAAACAGAGCAAGGTGTTCTAAACGTCGTCGTTTAGCACCCTCCAAATAATTAACAAGAATAATCCTAAAAATATATTCCGATTATGATGGGGCTTCGCACTTCAATTCAAAGCACTGGAAAAATAAAAAAATAAAAAAATTGATGCATTTTTTTGAATCCAAAATTGAAAATGAAAGTGAGATAAGAAGAATTGGTGAGCCATGTGATGTGGTTCCCTTGTGTGAAGGAAATTAAAGGGACCACTTTCAAAAGCCTTCCATGATTGAGTTTGCAGAGAAGATACATGTGCAGAGCAGGGTAAACAAGAAGATGGCAAATTTTCAATTTTATTATTGTTGGTGTTTTTTTAATTCAATTTTAATTAGGGTTTGAGCTGGGGGGTTCGTGGTAATTACCTTAATTTGTGGGGGGGTTTTTTGAGAATTACTAGAAAATTAGGGTTTGCATTGGGATGTACAGGGGGGGGAGTGTTGTTGTGTCAGAGATGGGTGTTTTGGTACCTCAATATCTGATCTGCCGTACTTTTCCAGTGTTTTCTCTCTTCTTGTTTATTACATTATTTGTCTCATTATTCCTAAATTATAAATACCAACAAAAAAAAAATTATGTATATATATTTATTGGGTTTCATTTCAGTCCCAATTTTCTTTTTTTAATACCTTAAATGGAATGCTCATGTTGGACTTTCATCAAATAACACATCAAACCAAATATGGTTTCAACCTATATCTAATTATATCATTCATTTGTCAAATAATTATGTGATTTGTCGAGATTCTAGATAGCTAGTATCTTCAAATATCTACTATATTAGATATCTGTCAGTTTTAGCTATATATTTACAAATATTTGAGAATTCTTAGATAACTGTGTTCTTTTAGCAAGATTTGTAACAATATCCCGACCAATCTTCTCATATAATTTAGATGCTAGAATAAATATTTTATTATTTTTATTTTTTGACTTATATTTTAAATATACTTTAATATATTTTCATGTCGATTTAGTTTATGTTGGGTGACTTATGGTAGAATAAAATAAATGAAAAATTGCACATTATATTTTAATAATAAATTAAGATATTATGCAGTTGACTAAAGTTTATTTGGTATCTAAATGTAGCCTATAATGTAATTGGATATAGTCATTTATTAATTATGAGACAATTACACAAATTGGATAAAATAGATATGTATTTTTAAATATAGCACAAACTTTAGAATTTTACAAAAATAGTATAATTTAAATCCAACTCGAAGTCGAAGGTAAGACGAGGCATTCTATAAAATTAAAAAAAAATCAAACTTGTTATATTTGGAAAAAAAAAATAGTATCATTTTTTAAATACATATTAAAATTGTGGATATTTTTTGCACATAAATCAACGTGATCTAAAATAATAGCAAATTAAGTATAAATTGATTTTTTTCTATAAATATGACACAATTTTCTTATACATATGTTAGATAAATGTCCATCCTATAAAATTATATATTTACAATTTTATTCTTTGTGATATATTTATTTGTTATCTATTATAAATTTATAATTCCTCTGCTGGTGTAGTTTCTCCAATAGTTGTTGGGCTTGGGCTTTTAGGTTTGGATATAGCTTCTTATGTTAGTGAGCTCGTAGCTTAAGCCCAATATCAGTGGCCGAAAAAGTATCGAGGGAAATTTGAATGAAAAGTTTTTTTTTTAAAGAAAAAAAAAACATTGTAGATTTATATTCTCATAGAAACAATTATACACATTCTATTTTTATAGAATAAATTTCATGTATAATATTTTTTTAAAAGGTAACCATTAATCATTAACTCACATATAATATTTTTCTAAAAAAGAAAAGCAACAATAAATCTCTCTCTGTTGTTTCTTTGGGTACTAATTTTAACTTTTGTAAAAAATTGCTGTTTTAGCAAAGCTCTCAATTTCCTGGCCAACACAATATTTACTCGTTCATTATTCCTTTATTTATTTACTTACTTTTAAAGAAGACATAAATAGTTTAAGTTTACTTAGAAAAATATGTACACTTGCACGAGATAATGTTTGCAGAAGTCACTATAATTGGTGTCCTAATCTTAATCAATAAAAACAAATTGGCTGTGGAAACAAGCGAGCAAGGTATAAGAGCATTGAGAATAATACAAAATTACAATGCATAACGATACTAACTTAATAGAAGTAACTAAAGAGTCGATTACTAAGCTAACACCTGCATAGACATTTTCGTGTAAAAAGAGAATGCATGATCATGGATAAGCTGACACCTGCATAGACATTTTCGTGTTAGAGCAGCTTAAAATTTTGTTAGTGCAAGTTATCCTTGATAAGTGCAAGTTCCACACAGTTTGAGTAGGTAGGTCTTGTTGTTGTCTTTTTAGAGGCTTAGTATTTTTTTTTCCCTTAGTTTCTCCATCTCATGGAAGATCATTCCCTTATTACAGAGGCGGGAGGGGAGAAAAATTTCGGTACTACGAAAGTATCATGCTCCTTTTGTTTACACTATTGTTTTGCTTTTACATTTTTAATGTTGGTGAATTCCACGTCATTTTTAATACGATGCTTACTTGGCAGGCATTAAATGAAATGAGTATTCATACCACAATAGTAGTTAGTACCATAAATTTTTGGAGATAGAGAGTAATGATCACACCTCTAGGTTGACCTAGAACTTTTAGGTGGCCCAATGTTAAATGTCATCTATGTCACATCGAGCAGGTTGTCGAGCCCACGACCTCCAATTTGGTGCCTTGTTGGCCGCCTTGGGTTAACGAATCCAGCCCATCTCTCAATCATGGCCCAGCCCGATCCAAAGAGTGGGTCAGGTCAGCCTCCGTCCCAGGGATGGGCGGCACCATTTCGCCATGTGGCAGGACCACGTGTAATTTTCCATAACAGTTAGAATTTTAAATAAGTAATATGATTTAATTTCATTAATTTTAAATCGTAATCTGTTTAAAATTCCAAAAAAGAAAGAAAAATTTAAACTATTAGAGTTTTGAATTTCCTACTTTATAAGATAACTGTTAAATCTATCAAGATATATTAATTATTTTGTTTGCAAAATTCATAATTCACAGAGAATCAAATCTTAATTTCTCTCCTTTTTAGAGAACTCGTGCAATTGCTGACGTGTCCACTGATAAAAATCTGTGAAGATTTTGGGACAAGATCAAGAGGAAATTAGGGCTCCTAGGCTTAGGCTGAGGTGTCTAATTGGAACACATCCTAACCCATAACAAACCTTTTTTTTTACCGTCGAAAAAGAAAAACAAACTTTCTTTTTTCTTTTCCTTTTCTCAGTTTTGTACTCCTCATGGTATCATATGGATGCATTCGAAATTAATATGTGGAATTGGAACATGTCGGGTAACATTTGGTTTCTTGTTTTTTATTTCTTTTTTATAATAAATGATAGCATAACTCTCTAGGTTAATTATTCTTTTTTTTTTTTAAATAGAACTGCATTTTTAATTACTTTTATTTTTATTAAAAAATATAGACATATTTGATAATTTTTTTCTGTTCCTTATAAAAAAATTTAAATTAAGAAAGTAAATTTTTATGCATTTTTTACTTTTAAAATTTAACCTTCAAAATTTGTATGTTATATTTACTTTTCAATATTTATTATACATTTTATAAGTCAATAGTGATTTTAATCACGTTATTAGAAGAAAGAGAAAAAGACAAAACGAGAAAAAGAATCAAGAAATTTTATTTTATTATTTATACGAAACGTTTCTTAAAAAATAAGACACAAGAAACATAAATAGGGTTTTAAAATTTGAAAACGAGAAACGAAGACGTTACCAAATGGGTCCTTAACTTGATAAACTCATTTTATGATCTTGTCAAATAATTTGTTTGGGTTTATTTAGTAACCATTTATTGGTGTACAAAAATATCAAACAAATTAGGAAGGAGGAATTGCCTCTTCTTTTGTTCTTTGCTCAAACCAATGTTCCATGAAATTATGATTGAAATTTATATTTATACTAAAGCTTTGTAGAACTTAGGAAAACTAATTATAGACAAACAAACATGATATCAAATTAAATTTATTTTAACCAACTTTTTAACCTCACCAAATTCCAAACTTTGAAGGCTTTGCCCAATTATATTTCTAATAGACTAAGAAACTAGTACTAAAAAAGTGGTGATGAAAAGATGTTTATATATATTCATAGTTGAATATAATAAAGAACAAGACTTAGAAGGTGGCGTGGTGGGTACTTTTTTTTTTTTTCTCCCTGGAAATGACTTAAAGCATCAATTATTCCCAAGTATAAAATCTGCTTTGCCTTCATATTGGAAATTCTCAAAATAATTTTAATGTTTTCACCTTTTGAATTTTAAAAAGGATAAAATTTTTGGATGGAAGTGTTAATTTTTGTTAAAATTGAAATAGGTAAAATATAATATTTACAAAACAATAGCTAATTTATAGTTATATTACTACACACACGTTGAATATTTTTTTAAATTAAGATTCAATTTCTAAATTTACTACCAAATTAACCATGTCTGAAAATATTGAGAAATACAACTATGTTTCTCATTGAATTCGTTTTTCAAATTTATTTTTCAGCTCATTAACTAAACACACCAAGTTGTTTTGTTTGTTCAAAATCTTAAGTTTACAATAGATTGTATCTGGTCTCCAAATTTTTTTTTTTCAAAAGTTAGTTTGTAGTTTTGTATTTGAATTTATATAGTTCATAGAAGTAATAAAATAATAGTTTTGAATATATTTAATTTTCAATGTTAAACATATACATTAAGAATATTACTAACATATTTGAATTCTCCTCCCCACCTGTTGTAAAATAAAACTTTAACTTCTACTATCGATATTTAACGTAGAGACACCTCTAATTAATATTAATAACTAGCTTCTTTTTTATTATTTAACACCACAAAATCATACATAATTCTCGAGTCAAGCTCTCTAATAGAATTCCACATCATTAGATTACATCTTTTTTTTTTCTTAAGAAATTAAATTAAACCCATTTTTTTTACAGTGATTAAAATTCTCTCTTTTCAATTCAAATATATGTATATACAAAAGTTACTTTTACACCCAAAAGAGAATGTTTGACCATATCAATTATCCAACACGACACACAAATGACAAATTCTTCTCTCATCGTTTTACACA